TGAATCAGTCGGGTCGTGAATCAACTACGAACTTGTTGAATGTTCGTGACTGACAGTCGATATCCGTGCATCTTTAGCAGCCGCATCACATGGTAGTTTCTGAATCATAACATTTAGTATATCACTGCCTTCAGTATCGTTATTACCTTCGGATTATTTCACTTGGTCACTTAAAATATAAAGTATAAATGCGTAGTAACGGCATTTTTTCTGGGTCATAATGGGGTAGATCTCCTTAGAAAGCGACTATCTGCATCTACAGACAGAACATTCCTTGTCATCAACGTTAAAATCATATTCTTCTGTCAGAAACTGAGGCACCAGTAAGCAAAGGATGAAGTGCCTCATCTGTGTCTATGTAACAGCTTATTTGCTCTTGTGAAGTTGAGTAAATTGGCTATACCAAGCACCAGCTTGTGAAAGGGTTAATGGGGGAATATATTTTCAGCTCTATAACAGAACATTTAGTCAACTCAAAATATATTTGGTTAATGTTGATAGATCCTTCAAAATTTTATACAAATTGTGACGAAATCACACGAAAAGAATGAGGCTGAGATATCGAACACTAACTGAAGCATTATTATTTATTTGTCCATTGGGTTCCTAATGAAATATACGGCTTCAGTAGCACGTCTCCAGTATACTCTGTTCTCAACGGTCTTCCTCTTGAACCTGGCTCCACGACCCCCCACCCCCCCACGAGCTCTCATTCCTTCCTCACACCATCTCCTCCATGTCACCCTCAGCTGGGACTGAGCTATAGCTTCTTGGTTGGTTCGCTGCCAGCCAGCCGATGTTCCTTGTTGCTAATTCTTTCTGGCAATCCATCTGATCTTCAGTAACGAGTTAGCGTAGGCAGCAGCTGTTTGTGAATGTGTGTAGTTTGTTGGAAATGCCTTTGGTAACACACCAAGTCTCTTAACCATCACATAGAAGCAGTGACTTGACGTTGGTGTTGAAAATCCGGATCTTATTCACGCATTGTGCTGAGTGCAGTGCAGAAGACCTCCACACTGGTTTCGGGTTAATAAACGCCTGTCTTGCTTTGCTTTTCCCATCCTGACTGGCTTTGACATCCTCGTCTGTGCCGCCTGTAGTTGAAACAGTGCTGCCCTGCCTAGATAGGTGAGTGAAAGAGGCTACTTCCCTTTAAGTTTCTCCTGTTCATGGTGATTGGTGTTTGTTGTTATTGTTGGTTGAATATCTTCATCACCTCTGTCTTCTCTACGTTCACTTGAAGTCCCGTCTTCGCTGCCCTGCCCTACCTTTTCTGTCAACTTGTTAGTTTTCGCCTGTACACCTTAGAGTTTGTGTGACATTAGACACAAGTCATCGGCGAAATCCAAATCCTCTAGGATCCTTTCTCCGGTCCAGCCAGCGTATCCCCCTGTTCTCGCTCCTCACGGTTTGCTGCATGATCCAGTCGACCACAATCAGGAATATCATGGGTGATAGTAGATAGTGTGGTCTTGCTCCTGTCTTCGTTTCATAGGCATCACTGAGTTTTTCATTGTGGATCAGTGGGAATGATACCTTATCATATTGTTGTCGAATGAGATTGATAGAGGTTTGTGGTATTCGGTAGTGTTGAAGCAGTTTCCAAATTACCTCTCGATTGACGCTGTCGAAGGCCTTTTCAAAGTCGATGAAGTTGAGATAGAGAGTTGACTACCATTCTGTACTCTGTCCTATGATGATGCTCAACGTTAGTAGTAGTTACAAAACATTCCTAATATTTTTCAACAGATAGATAGAGTTGAACTAACTAACTCCGATTTTCCCATCACATATCGAATTCCAAAGTTGGGAGTACAACAGTTAAAGCTCGATATAACACAAGTATGACCAAGAATCTCCACATAACAAGTATCACCTACGCTTCTGTCTGAAGAAATCAGGATTCCTTCCACACCAGTTCAGTAATAATGAGTAGTCTAGACACTGAATCGAAGTACATTTACTCATGTAACCGACACAACTGTAATTCCAGCAACAGTAGTATGCTATTCGGGAACTAGAAACACCTAACTGCTGACTAGATTCTCAAATAGTGAGTACACTTTACAATAAGTGAAGGTGATTCGCCTACAACAAACATAAAATCTCTGGAGGGAAGTGTCATTAGGCTAATTATGCTGTAAACAGTGATTATCATACACTGAGTAGATTGCTTGAGAACGTTTGGTCAGAATGATAATCACTGCCAGTGATAACTGTAAACCAAACATACTTCTATCGCGTTATTCTCGGTTGAACAAGAATATTTTAGAAAATGCATAGAAATCCATTCGTATAATCGACCTATGCATTATTAATAAGCCTGTATGATAATCCTACAGACGAAAAATTCCAAGCAAGAGGTAGAAGCACAAGCAGGTTTCTGGGACTACTACTCCTTCGACTAATGACGCCAACCACTGAATCGTATGAAACTAACTATCCTGAACTATACGCGTCCCTACTTAGCGTAGGAATCCCCGACTCTAAGGAGACGCTTATACGTTTCAATTGACCGATGAGACCTTTTTGACACAGGCGCTCAACAAGTCCATTAAGTGAAGAGTTGTACATGGTCCATAAAACCGCTACTAGGTGTAAGGTACTACCGTACAAGAATCCTGCTACATTTGCCTTCTAGGTTGCTCTCAAATAGTAGCTCTGCACGTGCCACGAGCGCTCTAATCGACTGAATGACCCCATACCATGGATGATGAGACTAGACCCAACTTGAAGCCTCCTTTCTACTTTGAACTTGTTAACGCTTACAGCAGTTGTCATGTGGGTGAATTGTGAACTCTTACAACTTCATGTAGATCTGCATACCGTAACATTCAGGTATAAGACATAGAGACAACCTGACCACTTGAAAAATTGTCTAGAATAACAAGAAAGCAGAATCAACAATAGAAAAGAAAATCCCTAAGAAAACGCCTCCTTTACCAAAAGATGCCGTGCTTCTGAAAGGATATTGACTTGACCTGACATTATATGAGCCGGAGTATGTTGACGCTGAAAGAATACCACCTAAAATACCAAACTTCGTAGGACCAACTGACTTCCATTTCAGAACATGTGACAGGTAGTGTAAAGCCCCTCCCGATTCTCGTCACAAGGAAGTGATCAACCGATCAATATCAACCTAGGACTAGGCATTACTGCATAACGGTCCGAGTTGCCACACGTCATATCACTACATTAAGTAGAAAGGTAGTGAGGCGCAAGATGAAGATGAGAAAATCCAGTCAAAATATAAAGTATGAAGAATGAAAAAATGGTGAGATTCGGTGTAGCGTTGTTAAGATGAGGATAGTGTGTGTGGGGATACATCTGCGCCACTCACATCGCTTCTCGGCCATATCACATAGAGTCCCCAACCACCAAGTTTGCATCGCCCCACATGGCTCAAACCAACAGTCTGAGACTTCATACACTGGTGCCATGTTTTAGTCTGGCCACCTCGGGCCTTTCTTTCCAGCCTCCGCCTACTTCGGTCAACATTGTGACGAGGCATACGGCGACTAGGAATACGTAGTACGTGACTCAACCATCTCAATCGATGCAGGTTCATAGCCTCTGCTTATTGAAACTCGATACTTGACTTCAGCATTACTCCCCTGGTCACACCACGGAATACGGCCCATACTACGAGGGCAACGGCAGTCAAACACCTGAAGCCACCTTCTCATGTCTTCCGCCTTCAATGGCTATGTTTCACAGCTATACAGCAGAACAGAGCTGACTTTTGTGCAGTACAAGGAAGTGATACTTCACCTTGGATGCTCCCGTCAACAGTAATTCAGATCAACTACATCTGACAATCTTTTACCCCCCCCCCCCCATAAACCTGCCGGTACTACACAAAATCAGTTCCGTTTCGCATATGCTTAGTACAAGATGAAGTCCACTTCTTCGGCAATACATAGATGGTCTACCGGGTACTGAAGGCAGAGTGAAGCACACACACCGGTAGGATTAGAACGCTAGATGTGGACCACAAATGTCCTTGCACCCCAACTATTTGACTTCTACTTTGAGGTGAACTGGCGTCTAGAGACACTCCAAATCGCTAAGTGAGAAACCTAATGGCCGCGAATGTCAGGAAACGATACAAGGGACAGGATCAATGCGGCTACAAAAGCCACACCCTATGGATCAATATTTAAAGACTTCGGGACTGCAAACCGAGAGGAAACAGCCACAGAAAGTCTACAGAGAATGCTGAAGTTTTGAGCGCATAAGTGAGACTCCAATAGTAAACTAGGTAGTTTACAGACATAAAGCATGTTCTAATCACTTTGTGCTTCGTCAAACCTACCGAAATTCCTCTCGAAACTAAAACAAACCTTTCAGTAGTACCGGTGTTAAACCCGACGGGATGCTGATCATGAACCATTTAAGAGTATGTTACCGTGCACCCTATGGACTCATCATCAACATCAACACAGGACCAGGCGTTACTGTGTAACGATCCGAGTTACTACACCTCATATCACTACATCAAGTAGGAAGGCAGTGAGGTGAAGGATGAAGATGAGAAAATTCAGTCAAAATAAATATGAAGTACGAGAAGAAAGAAAGGAAGAATGACAAAATGGTGAGAGTCGGTATAGCGTCACCAAGATGACAAAAATGTATGTGGGGATACATCTGCGCCTTTGACATCGGCTCTGAGCCATGTGATCACCTAGAGTCAGTCTCCAGCCACTGGTTCCTGTTGTCCCGCGGACCCCAACCACCTAGTCTGCATCGCCCTCAGATCGCATATAACCGACTTTAAATCTACCTTATAGACTGCTGAAACACAGCTAGGTGAATCCACCTGGGGTCGATACAAACAGGAGAACCTACGAATGAAAAAGTGGTTAGTAATACGAACATCTGGTATAATATTAGACAAAAACAAAGTGGCATCTTTACAACAATGCGTAATTACAGGAAAATGGATAGAAAATATTACGGTGACTAAATGCAGTTTTAAATATATATAAAGAAAGCGGTTAAGTGCGTGCTGTCGCAGTTGCTGTACTCGGCGTAGTTGCACTTGAACGTGGAGTACCAGAACGATTTTCTGGAGTATGCCATGTTAGTCTTTCTTCATAGAATCGAATAACAACTTGTGGACATTTGATATTAGCTTCACGAGCAGGTACTAGATCAGCTTCATCAGAATCTTTCCTAATAGAAGAGAATAAGAGAACTCATTGTACAGCTACTATTCTATAAGCATTGAGTTTAAAGTTTCAGTTTAAAAACGAACTTACCATTTCATTAGGAACATTAATTCACCACTTGAATCAGTAGCTCCAATGATTCGTTCAGCTTTAAGTCCACGAGCAAATCCACGAGTTTTGGTGACCGTCTTAGCAACTTTGGCCTGTTCAAAGAAAGATAGAAACCTAAGTCAAGAAGGCATAGCTTCGGCTTCAATTTATTTACCAAGTTAACATGGATTGAAATAACTCACATGCGTATATGATACAAAAGGACTCACTTTCGGTTCCTCTTCTTCTTCCCCTTCTTCTACTGTCTCTTTTGGCTCTTCAGGAACACTTGCCACCTCACTGGTTGTCTCTTCTGTACTTGCAGGAATGCTAGATGTACGTTTTTTTCGAACAGGTTGTGGGGCTTCTTCATTTGCTTCTTTAGAGGTGTCTGAACCAAGTGATGAACCTTTTGATCGGTTACGTGAACGAGATTCTGTACTCGCCGATGTTCTAGCAGGACTGGTCAGTGGGGTTCTTTCACGAGCTCGTCGCTCTTCAAATTCCTATAATGGAAAGCCTCATTTATCAATCCTGATGAATAAAAGATAGGTTCGGGTGAAGGCGAATGATATCAAACCTAATCACATAAAAATGGAACAGATCACGATGCATTAAGGTGAAATAAAGGACAGTAAGAGTAGGTGTCAGTACAAGAATCCACTCCTACCGGAATAAGGTACACAGACCGAACATACAGTTCACATGAAAACAAGGCGCATGTGGAATCTCGATTGAAATCAAACCTCAACATGTACAAACTCATATCAGTAGCATATGATTGTGATATTTTATAACAAGAAGAATGTATATTTCAAAAATTCACCTTGATCAAATCAGGACAATCTAAATTTTCCTCTGGTTCCCAAGTGTTATCTTCTTCTGAATAACCTTTCCACTTTAAGAAGTACTCCTTTTGACCATTTCTGATACGGACCTTAAGAATCTTCTCCACCTGGAATTCATCTTCACCACCACTCTCTTCAAGCTCCCGATTATTTTTAGAAGGCATAATAATCTCTAACTAATAGCTTGACCGATGAGCGCAATCACAACCAAATTTCAAACAACGGCGTTGAGTTCCGTTAAACAAACTCTATGAAAACGGCCTCAAACCTCATGTTGAACTTCAGACTTCCTGTTGTAAGGATAGCGAAATGATTGTTGTTTACATTCTACATCTGCCCCAATAGAAGTCATTGCCTGTTAGGAATACCCACAGTTATTCTCGCACTTTCGAGAAACCTGAAATGGTTCCATACGGTTGCTTACTGAATAGAGAATGTCTTCATTTCACTACATAGCATCTTTTTACGAGCTTGTGTGAACCAGTTGGTTTCTTTGTCCTGGCTTCCAGGTCTTCAGTGGATTACGACGTAGTAGATCTACCCGCAGCCTGTTATAGTTTGGGAATGCCGATGGGTGTTTGGGTGATGATTAAATTTGCAGAGGTTGTGCGGTTTCCTTAAACACTGAGGTGTAGAAGGGTTTCTCAGACGCCGCATCATCAGGGAGTTTTTAGGGCTGGTTGAAAAAAGAAGAAAGGAGGGAAGAAGTGATGTCGAGCGAAAGCAGGCGGGAGAAAGTATGGAAAAACAAGTTGAATGAAGCAAAACAAATGGGGAGCAGAAGAGTAGGTAGATTAGGGGAAGACGGAAGAGGTGCCTGTGCTAAGGAGAACCTCAAAAAACAGGAAGGAACCAAAGAGTAGCAGGGATGAGGGATCACATAAGATCATTAGAGGGATTATGGCAGCTGAAATGTTGTTATGAGTAGGGGTATTAACTGGAAGTGAGATGTTTAACGGGAGCGTACAAGGCTTAGTCAAGTCGAAGACAGTAGCAGCAGTACAGAAGATTCGGTATAGGGTTGACTACCATTGAATGTATGGAGTTAGTTGGCTGTACTGACCCTATTCAAGCAGGAGGAGCGTAAAGCACTCACTGCTACATAGCCATTCAACCTATTCTTGAGGCTACTGACAGACCAAACTGTCTGGACTTTGGAAGGCTATGCATTTCAACCGCTAGCTTAGGTGCCTTGTATCACCGGGCAAGCAGATTCTGTGTCTGATAACCCAAGTAAACAGCCACTTAATTATAACTTATCATCTATTTGGTGGTGCCGCCACCGAAGGTCTGTGAAATAATGAGAACCCTTCCTAGCCAACCCCGTGACTAGGGGAGGATTATCAGTGGGGTCCATGTTCTTTTTAAAGGCATCATGAGGGGAGGCTGTTACGGCCACGGAAAGGGAATTCGTATGTTTACAGACCCTGTCTGAAATCGAGACTGCACAGGCCTTCATTCATGCCCGTTTATGCTCTGCTCTCTAAGGATGACCTCCAAGGAGAGGTTCACGAGTGAAGCCCGCGAAAGATCTATTGGGAAAAAGCGGATTATGAGCAACATGATGTAATGTCATTATATCCCTTCTGATCCACCTACATTGCATCTCTTGCGGCACTAAAAGCAACTGAGTGATCCGGGTTGGGCTTCTGAAGTAGTTGTCAGATGATTTCAACCAGTTATCCACAGAATGTGAGAAGATTCCGCTTGACTAGCACCCACGTCCTCAATCAGTGGACAGCTAGTCCCTATGTCTCGGAATCTAAGTGAAGAGAAGAAGAACAAATAAATGGATGGTTGCTAGTTGGCTGGTAGGTGAACATCAAGCTTGTGTTTGAACCTATTCCAGGATGGCAAAGTCTTTCTTCAAATGGGGAGGTACGATCAGCGAGTGCTACAGAGGGATTCATAGTTCACACACTGCGGCGAAAAAGCTCAGATTTGGCCTCGCCATAAGTTCTAGAAAGATGCCTGCAGGCTCAGTCCCTGTTCTCTGCAAGGTGAAGATAATCATAAGCTCCATATGTGTAATTGAGGGTGGTACACGAACCTATTTCAACATCTGAATTAGAGATATTAGCTACCCACAGGAGGTAAGAACTAAAAGTATACCGATATTCCTCTATTGCCATTATCCCACACTTCTTATCGACAGCTAACAGGTTTTCACTGTTCCAGTTCAGAACTTTAGATGGGTCCTCCTGAAAGAATGGGAAACCTGTTGGCAGCGGTGTGTCCCTCTGAATCTCATGACCACCGGAATTTCATGGTAGGTGAGAGCTTAAGGTTGGTCGCAAGTCATTTGTAACAGCAAAAAACAACAGTGGATCAAGAATTGGGCCCTGAGGCAAACCACGGAGTTTCAGGAAACAACCGGACGGGCACAAGCCAGCTGTAACTGACTAGGCTTTATTGTTAAAGTGGCCCCTAACCCAAATGAGTGGCTTCGAACGCATGACGCCCTGGTCAAAGGCATTAGAGAAGCTAGGTATCTTGGCACTGACTTTTTCTGCTCAACAGGGTTCGGTTATTCCAAGCTGTTAATGAGTTGGTGTTACACGACCTCTCAGACAAGAATTCCCGCTAGGTGTGTTGGAATTGAGGTCCTTAACAAGTGGCCACAAAGCCAGACATTCACTACCCTTTGACAAAGCTTTGCAACTAATGGGACCGGAGGAATCAGTGTATAACTAGGGGTGACAAGTTTATTTCCACACTTATATTTATGGATGACTGCCAGTCATTTCCGGCGAGAGGGTAGCCTGCCTTCCGAAAAAGAATATCGAAGGCCAATCAGTTGGACTTATAGAGTGTCGTTACACTCCTTGAGTGTTCTTGGTCGAATTCCGTTGAGTCATGGAGATTTATCAGGATATAGACCCTCCAAGATCCCCTTGATTTTAAACAGCTTAAATTTTGCCCAAGTCGACTGCTGCCACCGGTTAATGTGGGGTCGTCCCTCCTGCTTAAAAGAGGTGGTGTTGGAATTCCTGGGCGCATAGGTTAGCTACTGCACAGTTAGTGCGGTGAACTTTTAAGCATGAGGGTGCTAGATACTATGTCAGAAAATAATTTTTTCTAGTGAGTGATGAGAATGCGCTGTAATTCGTATACAGTGTTCCATACCAATATTTCTAGTAATCTACTCTGCCCCTTAAATCTCTCGCACATGTTATGGATTTTTTGTGAAGTGTCAAGTCATTCACGCCGTTACCAACCCCCATTAATTCCAATCTAAACTTATACCCACATTAGTCTACCAGTGAACTACTGAAACCAGGGAAAGAGAATCCTATTGTTTCTGCGCAGTGATCGGAATAGCGGTTTTGCTACTCACAAGGAGGATTGGGCCTTTCGGTACCTTCATTCAAAATCCACATCAAGCGAGACACCATGTTTAGTAGGCTCCATGAAACCAAAATATTTCCTGCATTTTGGCTCAACGTCCGCGGAGTGTATGTTTTAAGCTAAATCTTTTGACTGCGACACTCCTGGAGCTGCTACTGCCAAAGTAGCCTACCCGGGTTCTTGATAGTTTCTCCACCAAACTTCTGGCAGTGGAAACTCGTTTCGTTTTCATCGAAGGATAACTTGATGGCGAATCGCAGGAGTGTCAGCGGCCATACTCGAGCAATGGTTTGTGTTTTGTGCTCACAGTATATTCATTGCACCTGTGACCCTGCTCAGCCCTCTGGGTGTTACGATGTATTGCAGAAAATTCTATTCAGTAGTAGATGATATCCGTATAACCTCGCCTGGTTAACTAGTTCACTGGTTACTAGCCGATCCTAACCCCGGGGTAAAGAGGGAAGGTTGGACATAGGGCTAGCAACCCTACCCCGTAAAACAAATCTAACCACTAAAGAAACTTCAAAGCACAAACAAAATATAAAAAATAAAAACAAAATTATTCCTCGCTGGAATCGGACAGGCGAAATGACGCCAGTTGGTGAAAGCCCTCTGGAAGCCAGTTGGCCGATGTGTCTTCTCTCGATGAAAGAGAAAGTAAACGTGGGGACATGGAATGTCCGCACGATGTTTGAACCCAGCAAGACAGCCCAGATTGCAAACGAGATGAGAAGGTATCACAGTGAAGTTCTTGGAATTTACGAAAGCAGATGGAATGGAAGTGGACTCTACAAGCTGTCAACTGGAGAATCAATAATCTACTCCGATCACCCAGACGACAACCACGAGCACACTAAGCTTTGGAGTGGCTATCATGATGTTCCCAACAGCATCGAAGGCTCTCATACAGTGGGAACCAATCTCCTCCTCCAGGATCATGACAGCAGGATTCAACTCAAAAGGAAGGAAGGTCACAATCACACAATGCTGCGCACCTACAAATAATGCAGAGCAAGAGAAAAAGGAGGAATTCTAGAGATAACTGCAATCCACACTGGACAATACACCGCCTCAGTTGGCGATATTAAAATTCTAATGGGCGACATGAATGCCAAACTGGGAGGGGACAACACAGGAAGAGAACTAACCATGGGTCGAGAAGCTCTAGGTGAGGTGATGAACGAGAATGGAGAATTGTTTGCAGAATCCTGTGCATTCAACGACTTGGTGATTGGTGGCAGTGTGTTCAAGCACAGGGATATTTGCAAAGCGACATGGATTTCACCAGACACCAGGACACACTGAAAATCAGATCGACTTTATCTCAACCTCAAGAAAGTGGAGAGGCAGTCCACTTGACACAAGGTCAAGAAGGGGAGCAGATGTAGGTTCACACCACTCACTGTCTAGTGCAAGGAACCTTCCAAATCAAGTTAAAGTCTTCAAGGAAGCCGGTGACAGACCACAGTCCAAGTGCAACACCCTGAACAGAAACTCCACTGAAGGATGAATCCATAAAGGGCATCACCACGTCAGCCATCACAACAAAGCGGTAGATGTTGTGCGGCATCCCAGAAGAAACCTGTGTGGATGAATACTGAAACCCCTTGAAAGAGATGTGGGAAGAAATTTGCATAACCTTATTAGGAAGGAAGATGAAGAATGGATCTCGACGGACACGCGGAATCTGATATAGCAGGCAGAGGAAGATGATGAAACGGATGATAAGCCAGTGCAAGGATGAACGACGGGAGGAGGAAATGAATACAATGTATAAGACGCTGGACAAAGAAGTAAAGAAGAGTGCATGGAAAGACAAAAGACACTTATGCAATACTCTGGCGAGTCAAGCAGAACGGGCTGTCGGCAGGTAAGAGAGACCTGACAACACTGTATCAAATAACCAGGTTACTATCTGACAGGGAAGAGATCTACACACGTGAAACCAATAAAATGTGATGAAGGAAATATAACTATCAAAGAAGAGAAACAAAGGAAACGGTGGGCTCTCCACTTCAAAAACTCTTGAATCGACCACCACCCGCACTTCGTCCGGAAATACCACCTGCAGCCACAAAACTACCAGTGAACACAAACCCTCCAACAAAAGAGGAAGTCCTGAATGCCGTAAAGCCACTGAAATGCAGGAAAGCAGCAAGACAAGACGAAATCCCGCCAGAAGCACTGAGAACAGACGCAGAGACAACAGCGGACATGCTCACACCACTACTGCAGAAGGTCTGAATGAAGGAACAGTACCTGGCGATTGGAAGAAGGACTACCCTGTTAAGCTCGCGAAGAAGGGCGAACTTAGTGCTTGCAAGAACTGGGGCGGAATCATGCTGCCACCCACCCAAAGCAAGCAAAATATTGAGCTGCATCATCTTGGGGAGACTCAGGAATTCGCTTGATTATAAACTTCCGCCGGAACAGGCTGGATTCAAGAAATACAGATCATGTGCGGACCAAATTGCAACGCCTCGCGTCACCATAGAACAGAGAATAGAATGGTAGACAACCGGATCCATACCTCAACCTCATTGACTTTGAAAGGGCCTTCGACAATGTCAACCGAGAAGTAATTTTGACAACTGCTTCAACACTACGGAATATCACAAAACTTTATCGATCTCATTCAACAACTATATGACGACGCCACATATCAGGTGATCCACAGTGAAAAACTCAGTGATGTCTACGAAGTGAAGACAGGAAGGAGTGAGACAAGGCTGTCTACTATCACCCATGATGTTCCTGATTGTGGTCGACAGGATCATGCAGCAAACCGTGAGGAGCGAGAACAGGGGGATACGCTGGCTGGACCGGAGAAAGGATCCTAGAGGATTTGGATTTCGCCGATGACTTGTGTCTAATGTCACACAAACTCTAAGGTGTACAGGCGAAAACTAACAAGTTGACAGAAAAGGTAGGGCAGGGCAGCGAAGACGGGACTTCAAGTGAACGTAGAGAAGACAGAGGTGATGAAGATATTCAACCAACAATAACAACAAACACCAATCACCATGAACAGGAGAAACTTAAAGGGAAGTAGCCTCTTTCACTCACCTATCTAGGCAGGGCAGCACTGTTTCAACTACAGGCGGCACAGACGAGGATGTCAAAGCCAGTCAGGATGGGAAAAGCAAAGCAAGACAGGCGTTTATTAACCCGAAACCAGTGTGGAGGTCTTCTGCACTGCACTCAGCACAATGCGTGAATAAGATCCGGATTTTCAACACCAACGTCAAGTCACTGCTTCTATGTGATGGTTAAGAGACTTGGTGTGTTACCAAAGGCATTTCCAACAAACTACACACATTCACAAACAGCTGCTGCCTACGCTAACTCGTTACTGAAGATCAGATGGATTGCCAGAAAGAATCAGCAACAAGGAACATCGGCTGGCTGGCAGCGAACCAACCAAGAAGCTATAGCTCAACAAATATGCACTGGAGGGAAGTGGAGATGGATTGGACATACACTGAAAAGACCATTCGGGGACATCACGCGTCAGGCTAGGCCATCGGGTAGAACCCAGATGGGAAGTGACGAGTCGGGCGTCCCAGCTGAGGGTGACATGGAGGAGATGGTGTGAGGAAGGAATGAGAGCTCGTGGGGGGGGGTGGGGGGTCGTGGAGCCAGGTTCATGAGGAAGACCGTTGAGAACAGAGTATACTGGGGACGTGCTACTGAAGCCGTATATTTCATTAGGAACCCAAATGACAAACAGTAATAATATGATGATATCTTTCGCAGCAGGAAACGTAAGCGCCAGTTGGTCCAAGGATCAAGTACGTGCAGCATTGGTCCCGGAATCGCTGACTTGATCTTTTTTCAGTCCTAAATTTAATGTACTACGGAAATGCTTCTTCGTGTTTTTCCGGGTCAAGTGGCTCCACTGCAGGTGTCGAAAGAAGTTGTAATTCCGTTTCGTCGTCAAATTGCTGGGAAAAATCGGTCGCACTTCCGCTCAGCGAAGAGAAAGCATGTATTCAGAAGAATGCATTCTTATACGAACGATCTTCTCATCGTAGAGGACGCCCGTGGGGAAGAGAACGATGGCAGCATTCCTTCACATACCATATTAATTGGGTTTTTAAAACTGTTGACAAGGTTTTCCACCCAGAACTCATGAAAGAGTTGGACGTTTACTCGAACAAAAGCAGGCTGAAAGCTAAGATGGTGACTTCAGTGGAAACTGGGAGCAAAGCGTTAGAGTTGGCTCACTGTCATCTTATAAGTCGTTTAAGGTGCTTGAAAAAGCCACGCAGTTGAAGAGTTTCATTGAATACTTCGATTATCATCCAAATATATACAAATATGCTTTCCCGTTTTGTTCTATCCATCTCACGTAGATCAAAAAGTCAGAAAAGTCAACTTTCCCTGTGTAAACTGCACTAAAAGTGCACGATCTCATTATCATACACCAAGATAAATTTTCGCAAGCAAACTATGTATAGGTGATGGAAATATACCATGACCTTCGCAGAGTCTTTTTCGTTTCCTTTCTTTAGATGACTGTTATTTTGTAAGTCGCAAACATCTGCAAGTGATCTGACCTTTTTTAATTTTGGGTGTTAACCCATCAGACGTTTCACGTGGCAACTGCCTACTTGTTGCATTGCTTAAAGTCCCCCTGTGATTTCATTCAGATATTTAGAATCCCATTTGTTCCATTACGTTGAAGAAATTCCACATGAACTTCACTAAAATGACAAATTTCGCCTTCAGTTTGAGATTTTAGCCTTAAAGATTTCGTTTTCACGCGAGGTATCGTTGTCACGTTTCTGACAAGGGTTTCCGCTCGACTTTGGGATAGTCTATGGAAAAAATGTCTCTGAGTTAAGGTCCTGTTATGAGCTGTGTCGTGACGCTTCGTTTCCTACCTAGCGGAGACTCAAGAGCTAGACAGCGCAAAGTATCCAAACGGGTGAACTCATTTAAGAACTTAGAAGTAACCTGCATCTTGGTTTATAGTTCTAGATGCCCATCAAGTTCCATCGGTCGGGTCTATACACGATGACCCAGTCAGAAGTATGATCACCACATTGGATTGCTGAATTGGAGTTAGTTGCGGAAGAGTGTAGGGAAGGAGTGGATCTATGTTTGATGGACGATTGCACAACTCTTCAGAATTCCAGTGTCACCGACGATATGCACAACACAGTTTATCTCGCTTCATCATCTCGATGAAAAACTCTATTTGGGAAGAGTGAATCAGTCAAACGAGACTGGTCTGTACTTCCTTCAGAGAGAAAGCTTTTCAAAAACGTACTGAGGCATGTGAATATGGAATTTCGCCCCATGGTAGGTATTGACAACATAGTCAGAGTCTTTTTAAATTAATTCGATCGCTCTCCTGAAGTGAGTTTTTTAGAATGATGATCAGGTTACAAAACCAGTAGAACTAAGTGGGGAAAATTTTAGCTCCGGGTAACCTGGAAGGGTGTATTCTTCATCGACTGGCCGATTGGTACGGTTTCCTTTCACACGAATGTGAGAAGGCAATAAGCTCAGAGAAGCATCACATATGAGTCTAGCATATAGGATATTTTCTAGTGAGTTACCTTGTCTTTTAGTTGACAAAGAAATAAGTATCGTTTCAGCTAATCAGATCCTCGTCAGAAACAAGCTTTTTGGTAGTGCGCAGTACGGGCGTTACAGAGTGAGCCAAGACCCGTCGCGCAAGGGGATAGATGCACAGAGATTCAAGCCAGTTAGTTACATCAAGCGGTGAAGTTTCTGCCACTACAGTCCCTCTGAAAACTGAAAGTGAAGGACAAAAGACGGAGCGATGCCAGTCCTTTGAAAACTGGTGATCCTAGGGCCAACAGCGTAGGTGGTTCCCTAAAGGGGATATGCAACCGGTCCTTTCCTCCCATCAGATGCACTCTAACACGCATGCGCAGCAACACCGGGGGTTTGACAGGGAAGGAAAAACAGATGAGACGTCCCGCGAACACTTGCACGCTAATATCAAATTCGCAACAGAATCACGACTGTAACCGAGCATTTCCGGCAGAGAGATGCATGTCACTCGTATGGGACCATTCCACAGGGACAGAGAATTCACAGCGGAAGGTGGAATGCCTCCGCACGTAAGTTCCTGCTTGAAAGCAAGCTTAGTAGGAGACGCATCCCTCATCCAACTCCTGGAATCTTCATGATGCCACTTCGGTCGCCACCGTATCAAATATATGCCTGGGGCGTGGCACTAACTCCGCTAACCATAAGGAAATGATCATCTAAGCAATCTCGGTGGCCGCTTCAACGCATTGAGACGATCACCGGAGACTTCAGCGCCATCCATTCTCTTCAAGGCGGAAGGGAAGTTAGATGCCGAAGAGTGCAGCTAAAACTGCTGGTGTCTCAGAGAAAGTGGATGATGCTGAACGTCGGAGGCTTAACGGAACTGCATCACACCTGGAATAACTTCTGATGGAAAGTGACCTCACTGTTAACGTGCGTCGAACCGCCTATTGATCTCGGCGATCCTACAGTGGTAGTTTTCTTCTTCATAAATGACCAGACTCTGTAAATAGACGCACCGGCCACCTCCCTTTACTACTTCAGGGTCAACTATGGAACCGTGGGGCACTACCTCATAGATGCACCATGACCTGGAGAGTAGACTTGCCTCACAATAGATGGGCACTGGGCAAATGTGAAGAAGCTAATACTCAAGGCCATAAGCCGCAGTGTGCCAGGGCAATACGCTGACCGTCAGTGAAAAATTATGGTTAATGCGTGTGATGGGGGGGGTACTTCAAGTCAAAAAACGGGCTTTGTTCCACTAGCACTCATCGGACGGAGAGTCCGACTACTTGTAAAATGACGAAGTGCGCAGCCGCTGCAACACAGGAGGCAATAGCGAAGGTTTAGCCGCCAAAAGAAACTGAAAAGGAAGTTACAAAGTAACCTAGGAAGTCTGTACCACTCAGTGTCAAAAAAGAAGTTCGCCAACGAGAGACTTAATCCTGTCGCAGGTCCTGAAGGGGATGTACTAAGCAGTCTAAGGATAGCTGAACTTCTGAGTTCAAAATTCTGAGTCCGACTTAGAAATGATAACAAACCTGCGCTGGTTCGGTACAACATAAATAACCAGTTCCTTTTTTACATCCCAGTCACAGGGAAAGTGGTATCGAAGAAACTACCTGGGCTGTGTCCGGGCAAGTCCTCTGGCTGTGGCAACCTGAGGCCGGTGGTCTTAGGAAACTGCGCCGGGGCACTCGCACAACCAATCTGCGGCCCATTAAAGCACTCACTGGAGTCATGCAGACCCTCCAAAGAATGGAAGCATACCATCTTATCACTTATCCACAAGGGAGAAGACAGAAGTCCCGGCAGCTACGGACCGACTATCCTACTCCCTGTACTATCAAAAGTATTGGAAAACCGGACAGACAACGAGATCTCGGAATTCCTTAACAGGAAAAACAACCCATGCAGCTCAGTACAGCTTTTGTGCCTTTATTCCTGTGCCATCAATTTGCCGACCGCCTGGGATGACTGGATTTTGACCAGAACAACGGAAAACTGGTAAGTCATTTTTCTCTACTTAACAAAAGCACATGACAGCGGCTCGTTTTCAGTCCTATTTTACGAGGTCACATCCAACGATGCACGTGAACCTCTGCTTTCCTGTTTCAAAGCGTAACTAGGATGCGGGTGGTTTCGTACCAAAGTGAACAGAATACGGTCGAAGTGGGGACCATCGATATCAGTGTATCCCAAAAAGCAATCCTTCTATTGGTTAACAACCTGACAAAAATCTGCTGGACCATCCTCCTTTTCATTGGCGACAGTAATATTTAGAGTGCAGAAAAGGAGGGGGCTGCCTGTACAGTATCCCAAAAAAACAACCTGCAGTAACCAGAACTCCGGTCGTCATAACGGAGCTTGAGCCCCAACCCGGGAACGTGCAAAGTAATGCGCATTGGCACCCACGAAGCGAGAACTGCCGAATTCGAATGCAAGTTGAGCAGCCATCCCAGCACTAAAGTGTCCATAGAAAAAGACCTGGGGTTCAACTTCTCTGACACCCTGAGCACCAGCTCTAAACAAAAAGAAACGGCAGCCGGAGCAAAGACCACGTTGCACTTTTTGCGCAATCAGTCTAGTGCTGTCACTCCTGAATTGCTTCAAACAGTTCTCAAATCCTGCATATAGCCACATCTGGAGGCCTTCAGTACGATAGCACCGCCAACGACCAGGAAACGCCACAATCTCCTTGGGAAAATACGAAGGTCTGAAGGGAACTTAGTTGTCGAAGACCTTATTTAAATGATTGAAGCACCTAAACCAATCCAGTACGAGCTATCGCAGATAGAAGTTCAGCCTTATTATGGCCTACAAGACTGTAGAGCACCTTCCTGGCACCAAAAATATAACTAGGGCTAAAATAAGTAGTTTATATTAAATTAACTAAATAAATCTCTAGCTTGCCTCCGGATGCTTAGGGTGTTTTAAGTTTTGTTTTAACGAGCATGCATCCGAGCAGGCTTGGACGCCATTTTTGCGCTCCATTGTGCTGACTACCACGCACGTACTCCGAGTCCCTAGTTCAGCCTTACAAGCCAGATAAGTTGATTAAACTTTTCCCTCATTCATTATTATTACATTTACCTTAAATACATAGCTCCTTTAAATACATTGCGTATCAGTTCTTTTGATTTGTGTTTTGTTATCAGTACTTACACGTTAGGTAAAGTACTGGTTAAGCAGGTACTAGAGCACATCAAATTAAGTAGGGTTGATCAAACGTTACGGAATTGTAACACGCATCCCTACA